TAAACCACTGAATAATCCATCTTTGTGATGAAAAGAAAGAGAGGATAGAGGGAAGCTGTCCAATAAGTGATTGGTGTTCCAGATCTCCTCATCCCACTGTGCTTGTGTCAGTCAAAACTCATGAGGCGCCTCTCAGGCATCACCAACGCAAGCAAGCAGTGCTCTAGACAGTGATCACAAGCTTCTCCCTCAGCCTTCAGAGTTTGGGGCCCATCTTGTGTGAGTTTCACATCCCTGGAAGGATCCTTCATGGAAGATCTTTGTATGGAATGGTATCTCCAGAGCAGGAAGATGCCCGGTGACACCAGGCCAGCCAAGGTCAAAGCAGGCACTTACAAGTCAATCTCAGAACCCAGTACCCAGTGCAAGTTTTTTGGTGGGAAAGTGCATCAGAACAGAAATGTTCAGAGACTGAGGATGGCTCCAGTGAAACAGAACGAGGAGTTCCTAAGTGCAACGCTGAATGTAGAGAAATCCCTCTGGCAATCTCAACTTCGTGGTCTTTTTTTTTCCAGTAAGAAAAGCCCTTGTTGATTCAGCAGCCAGCTGAACTTCATATGTTCCTCCTCTGATGCAATTCCATAAACCACTTCAGGGCATGAAGCACAGGGTTATCTTCAGGGTATGCAAAGCAGGTTGACTGTGCCAGCCAAAGATTACTGTTACCTGTGTTGGATTGTGGATTTTGGAGTTCGAGGGGAAAGGAAAGCAGGGGGATCCACTTTGGAAGAGTTTTCTCATCAGAAGCAATGACAGGATTGCACATCTTTGTACAAAAAGCTTATTCATAAATACAGGATGAGTGGAACCAAATAAACAGCTACTGTTCAGTTTTATCAGCTGCCTGGATGATATGGCTAAAGAGATCACATATAGCAAAACAGTTTCCTCTCAGACTAACACCACAAACTGAAAACGCAGATCCCAGAGCCCTCCTATATGCATCTGCATGCCAGAATCAGTAATTAACAGTTACCTTTCCTGAAACAGATTCTCCATCGTAGAAGAGAAAGTGCTTTTCTACTTTACCATCTTCTGTTTTGATTTCTGCTGGTTTTCGTGTTTCAGCATCATTAAGGACAACGTCAATCTCACAAACAGGAACGAAAAGGTTGCCAAGAAAACTCTGGAAGGACAAGAATCGGTAAGTTACTACACAGTGGACACTCCTCTTTAAAGGTGATGTTTACTTGCAGCTGTGCACTATACACTGGGCAGCAGACAGAAGGGTGCTCCAGGTGTACCTGTAACAGCTACAGAGCTGTGCCAGCTGACAGAGGGGAGTTCCAGGTGTACCTGTAACAGCTACAGAGCTATGCCAGCTGACAGAGGGGTGTTCCAGGTGTACCTGTAACACTGCTCCAGGCACAATGTTTGTGCTCAGCTCACCACAGCATTCCCCAGGCTCCAGCTTCGACCATACCGAACACCAGACCCTGCAAGGGATCATCCTTTGACCTCACACAAACACTTCTTACAACGGGCTCCAAAACATCTTAGTGCCTCCATGGGAAACTCAACAAGATTAGTACAAAAGCCAACACTTTCCTCCTAAGAATTAGGCACTAATCTGCTCCGATGTACCAAGGCAGACAACACTTCACTAATTCACAGTGATTTGGGGTTTTTTTTGAGAAATTACACTGTGTTCTCCATGGGAACATCTGTTCCAGCTAGATGAATCTGGTATACATGAAACAGCCTGTCCTGGTTTCAGCTGGAGTTCATTTCTTCTAGAAATAATTTCTTCTAGAGTTAATTTGTTCCCAGTAGCTGGCACAGAGCTGTGTTGTGGATTCAGTATGAGAACAACGTTGATAACACACTGATGTTTCGGTTCTCACTGAGTTGGGTTTATCCCAAGCCAAGGATTTTTTTGTGTCTCATGCTCTGCCAGTCGAGAGGTGCACAAAAAAGGTGGAGGGGAGCATAGACAGGTGATCCAAACTGGCCAAAGGGATATTCCACACCTCAGAATGTCCTGGGAGAGTTACCCAGAAGGGGACAATCAGGGTCTGGCATCGGGCAGCGGGTGGTGAGCAACTGTATTGTGCATCACTTGTTTTTCTTTTTATTATTAAGTATTATAATATTTTCCTGTGTTTCAATTATTAAACTGTTCTTATCTGAACCTACAAGTTTTACTTCTGCTTCTCCTCCCCATCCCAGTGGGGTGGGAGGTGAGGGAGCAGCTGCCTAGTGCTTAGCTCCCACTTGGGGTTAAACCACGACAGTCATTCTTTCTCACTTCACCAACTTCATATAAAACACTGAGTAAGAACACATTCCAAGACATTCTGGGGACCTGAGGTTTGAAATGTTACACAAGCCCAGAGGAAAGTTTGGTCTGAGTGACACTGCTCAGCAGCAGGAACACTGAGTGATTTTGTGCTTACACCTCCAAGCCAAGCAGGAGACACAGTGAAAGCTGGAGCTACAGCACCCACACAAGACTAAACTTTGTTCACACAGCAATCGGCCCTAATTCAATCCCCAAAGATATATATAACTAACTGAAACCCAGTCATGTCCACTTCCCATTCTGAGGGGAAAGCAGCAGCAGCAGCAGCAGAGGACCAACAAGGTGGTCAGATGTAAGACTGAACTGTCTTCCAAGTCTGCCAAGCGCAGGGTTGCACTTACTGCCAAAAAAAAAATTTTTTTTTTTTTTAAACACTGCACATCAGAACCATTACTGATTTTTGGCTCCTGGGGAAGGGTAAAAGAACTCCAGTTCGGACGCCTGGCTGTGCTCTTGGGTTTATGCAGAAGACAGACGCTGAAGATGCTGCTACATCGGGGCCAAAACCCCACAGCACTGAGTCGTAAGTGCGAGTGAGAGCTGTCCTGAAGGGCCTGGGGGGCTCCGGCAGCTGGCACAGGGAGCAGAAACCCCAACCTCACCTTCAGCCCAGCCCCGAGCGGCTTCTGTCCCCCCAGCAGGGCAAGAGACACGCGTAGGGGAACACAAACACGCCAGAAACACACAGCGCATCGATCCAGGGACTCTTTACGACACGTATTTTCTTACTCCCCGTTGAAACAGCCCTCGGAGCACGCCCATCGCTCCCGCCGGGCACAGCGCGGCCGCCCTTCCTGGACGGCGCGATCCCGAGGGATCCACCCGCGTCCGGGGACTATCCACGCGCCTTTCCCGGCCCATCTCCACACCGCCGAGGGCACCGGGCACCTCTAACCTGTACGCAGCACTAAATCCCCCCAACTCCTCGCCTTTCGAAGGACGGACGGGGAGCGGCAGGCACCGCCCTGCCCAGGCCGCTGCCGCCTCAGGCGATGGCGGAGCGGCGCTGCCCCCCCCGCCCCTCGCTCCCCGTGGTACGCGC